AGACAGGGAAGGGAAAATGAGGAGGTGGAAGATGGGTAGGAGGTGTTAACGGACCTTTTTTTGACTTTTGAGAAGTAGAGGGACGATTGGGAGGTGTCATACGAGATCTCGTCGCTACTGAGGCTTGTGAGAGAGAACACGAAGAAGCAAGATCAGACTGAGACGTTGAAGTAGGGACGTCTGAGCCGAGGACAGCAAAAGAATTAGCTACAGGAGTGACTATGGGAGAGGTAACCACAGAGGTGGGTGCAGAAGATGGGATACCAGAAGTGGGGGGACGTTTTGAAACACGGGAATAAGAAACACGAGGTAGTCTCCCTTGGAGGCGGAGATGAGAAACTGCCATGGCATAAGGGAGACCTTCTGCCTCTTTGAGGTAACGGATTTCCCGCTCGTTTAAGTAGACTTGACAACGGCGAGAGTATGAAGGGTGAGCCTCATGACAATTAAGGCAAGAGGGAGGTCGATTGCAAGACTTATTAGAATGGTCATCGGCACCACAGACTGGGCATTCGGCGATAGATCTGCAATATTTCGCTGGATGGCCAAATCGCCAGCAATTTCTACACTGTTGCGGTGTAGGGATCACCTTTCGAACTTGTTACCGATGTCCTGCTACATAAACTGAGGATGGGAGTTCACGGCTGTCAAAAGTTAAACGAGCCACATTGCTAGGGTATCGTCTCCGCCCGCGGGCAGGAAGAACGTAAGTGTCTACCTTGAGGATTGGGAGATCTTGGAGTTCCAGCTGTTCAAGAATGTCAGTGCTACATGTCTGGAAATTTTGTTGAACTATGGTATGGGGCAGAATGATGGTACCACTACAAGAATTGAGGGAATGATGCTTTTCAATAGTTACAGGAACAGTATCGATATGGGAAAGACGAGAAAGCTCATGAGCCTGGGTAGCATTCTGTACGATGACGATGCGCGTACCTCTCTTAAGAGCATGAAAAGAAATATCTTTACCAACATGGCATAGGAGTGCCTTGCCAATACTGTGGTCAGAAAGATAGGCAGTAGAGGAAGTCGGTCGTAAAGTGAAGAATTTAGTCCATTGTGCAGTCTGAAACTGAGCGTGGAAAGGTAGTGAAGGACGTGTCGATCTTTTCTGAGAAGAATGAGAAGGTGGAGAAGTATCATCAGCAGGTAATTGTCGTTGTCGTTTAGGCATGGGACCAGAGTTGGTCCGACGTGGAACGGGCCGGCGATTCGAAAATTGCCGCACCATAGAGGGAGAGGCCGGAAGCATAGTCAGAGGAGAGCGAAGGTCAGATAAATCGAAGGAGTCAGTCGAGGCCTCAGTACCTGAAGCAGGTGAGGAAACAGCACCGGCAAGAGGTACAGAGGCATGAGGACTGTCCGAAGAGTGGTCCAAAGACGAGGCGGGGTCAGAACGGGGTGCGGTATCAAGAAGGGGCCCGGGGGTAGCAGGTTCATGGACTAGGGCTGCCATGGTTAGGTTACTTCTTTCTTTTTGTTTTTAAGAAAAAAAAGAAAGAAAAGAAAATAAAAATAAAAAAAGAATAAAAAAGGGGGGACCGGGGAGGGATAGTTCCTAGGAGGAATGAAAGGGCCAGAAATCTCCCTCCGCGCCCAAGAGGACCTCAGCACCGCAAGTAGCGCAGATGCAGCATGGAACCCGTGCCATACCCTACCCATCATGCCAGTAAACCGGCAATCCGGGATAGCAACCTCACATCTGCCGAGCTACCTCGGTGGACAAAAGAGAGGGCGGCCGGAAATCCGCCACAAAGCATACCTCCTTCGGCCACCACCCCCGGAATCCGAAAGGTGGCTTCCAGAGATACACCCGTCGCCCGAGAGACACCCAAAGCTACCCTCCGGGATACCGGAGAGGGATCAGGACATCCCCAGGCAATCCAGATTCCACGGCAAACTACGCCACCGCCAAGAACCTCAACGGAATGGGATGGACCCCGGTACCCTTTCCCCTACCTAGGAACTAGCGTGCCTGTGGAAAAAAAAAAAAAAGGCCAAAAAGGAAGGGCAAAAGGGAGGGGTGGGGAGGAGGAGGAGGAAAGGAAAAAGGGGAGGATGGGATAGGGAACTGGGGATTGGGGGGTAATTAGGTTCGGCTCAGGTTAGAGTATGTAGGAAAGAGGGAGATTATTTCCCAAGGATGTGTTATGTCACCATGGTTGTTCAATATATTTATAGATGGAGTTGTAAGAAAAGTGAATGCGAGGGTCTTGGCAAGAAGTGTGGAGTTTAAAGATAAAGAATCAAACACAAAGTGGGGGTTGTCACAGTTGCTTTTTGCTGATGACACTGTGCTTTTGGGAGATTCTGAAGAAAAGTTGCAGAGGTTGGTGGATGAATTTGGTAGGGTATGTAAAAGAAGAAAATTAAAAGTGAATAGTATAGGAAAGAGTAAGGTTATGAGGATAACAAAAAGATAGGGTGACGAAAGATTAGAGGGAGAGAGTATGGAGGAGGTGAATGTATTCAGATATTTGGGAGTGGATGTGTCTGCAGATGGGTCTAGAATTGATGAGGGGAAAAGGGTGAGCGGTGCACTTAGGAGTCTGTGGAGACAAAGAACTTTGTCCTTGGAAACAAAGAGAAGAATGTATGAGAGTATAGTTTTACCAATGCTCTTATATGGGTGTGAAGCATGGGTGATGACTGTTGCAGCAAGGAGAAGGCTGGAGGCAGTGGAGATGTCATGTCTGATGGAAATGCGTGGTGTGAAAATAATGCAGAGAATTCGTAGTTTGGAAGTTAGGAGGTGTGGGATTGCCAAAACTGTTGTCCAGAGGGCTGAGGAAGGGTTGTTGAGGTGGTTCGGACATGTAGGGAGAATGGAACGAAACAAAATGACTTCGAGAGTGTACAAATCTGTAGTGGAGGGAAGGTGGGGTAGGGGTCGGCCTAGGAGAGGTTGGAGGGAGGGGGTAAAGGAGGTTTTGTGTGCAAGGGGCTTGGACTTCCAGCAAGCATGTGTGAGGGTATTTGATAGGAGTGAATGAAGGCAAATGGTGTGAACAAAGTAACATTTATGAAGGGATTCAGGGAAACCAGTAGGCTGGACTTGAGTCTTGGAGATGGGAAGTACAGTGATGCACTCTGAAGAAAGGGTGTTAATGTTGCAGTTTTATAAACTGTAGTGTAAAGCACCCCTCTGGCAAGACAGTGATGGAGTGAATGATAATGAAAGTTTTTCTTTTTCGGGTCACTCTGCCTTGGTGGAACTCGGCTGACGTGTTAATAAAGAATAAAAATAATTCTAATAAATTACCGCTGATGATTCATTCAGGAAAAACAGCTGCATATCCAATACCATCAGGGTGCTGAGAACCATCAGTGTACATATACTGCAATAGCAAGAGATTGGAAGTGATTAAGAAAGAGGCAAGTGAGCTTTTGCACAACGAAGTAGGGAAGAGCGAACAAGAATTATTGGAACTTCTCAAGGAGGGAGGGAAATGTAAAATGCAGTGTGAAAGTAAAGGGAAGCCATGATAGTGTGAGAGGAAAGGGACGTAATACGGTTGATGGTTAAACAAGCTAATAGATAAGAGAGAAGATTTTGTTCGGATTTTTAACCCCGGAGGGTTAGCCAACCAGAATAACTCAAGAAAAGCAGTGCATCATCGAGGAACTGTGTCTCATTTCCATTGGGGTCCTCAATCTTTTCCCCAGGATGCAACCAATACCAGTTAACTAACACCCAGGTACCTACTTGCTTGCTAGGTGAATGGCACAACAGGTGTAAAGAAATGCCCAACGTTTCCACCCTTGCTGGGGATTGAACCACGGACACTCAGCGCGTGAAGTGAAAGCGTTGCCTACCAGGCCACAGCATTACTAATACTGGTTATCATTCTACACATGAAAGGGCTGTGAAGGTCATGGAAGCAGACAAAATAATGAAAACAGTGGCAGTTGATATTATAGAGAGGTTATTTACATACTGTACTTAACTATACATAATGCTAGTATGGAAAGAGCAATGGTGCCATGGCTTATACAAAAAACATAAGGACAAATTAAGAAAGAAGGCTACTTACACAAAACTACATTGTTTAATGTTGTTCCTCTTAGTTTTGTATTGATTGGTTTTATTTCAATATTCTAAAATGAAAAAGCAACACATGCTGATAAAAATTTGTCATTCTTCATGAAAACATAGCCTCTTGGCCCACAATTTTCCTTTAGGACTAAGGCTCTACAAATGTTACTTAACAGTTCTTGAACAAAACTTGGACAATTATGCTCAATCCAATCATGATACTAATCTTGTGCATTCACATGTTTTACTAACCAATAAAAGATAAATCTTATTGTTTGCCGACCTAACAAGATACTCATTAACCACAGGGTTTCACTAATACCTTCACCACAACAAAAGTAATACTGAATCGACAATTAAAGGGGACCATATAACATTGTCTGGAATCATAAGTTAATATACTAACTTAATAAATGAAAATAAAATGTAAAAATGCTGAGCATTAAGGAAGACACTGCATCTCATATGCATGCATCAGTGTATAATCATCAAACACTGATAACATGCAAACTGAGTACAGTATACATAAATATGAAGGATTTGAATTTTTTTTTTTTTTTTTTTTAACAAGTCGGCCGTCTCCCACCAAGACAGGGTGACCCGAAAAGAAAGAAAATCCCTAAAAAGTAAATACTTTCATCATCATTCAACACTTTCACCTAACTCACACATAATCACTGTTTTTGCAGAGGTGCTCAGAATATATGCAGTAAATGTTTTGTTTTTTACAACTAATATAGCTTTTAAATTTTAGAAGTTTTAGCATGTCTTGGTCAATATCTATCTCACATTTTTTTAAAACTTTCTTTATTCACATATATAGATTTGCTCATATACTTAATTTAGATCTCAATATTTAATTACAGTATCATAAATAAATACCATTCATTTATTTTCCCAATTACCTGGGTTCTTAATATAACAACATATCCCCAACTAAAAGGCAGGAAAAAAGATATCTAGCTTACCTTTCACTTTTTTAATATACACATTACCCAAGAGGCATGGGATAAGGCTCTTATATTTTTGTTGCACAAGACACAGCCTTAACATGAAACGAGCATTTCAGTGACCTGGCTATTATTATTAATGCTATATAATACATCAAACTGACATCTGGAATTAGGTAAATATTTGGTGAGGTACAGTCAGTCACACCCACTATCTGCTGATCGTCAAGCAAATCTCATTCCCTAAACACTATTTACATATTAAGAGTACACTCAAGTTTCTTATTCCAGATAAATCAACATGCCAAGTATACACTGGAAGGAATACAAAAGTATGAGATCACACTGGAATATGTTCACCTATCCATCTACATAAATACTGTATTTTGAAATATAGAGTATAATCATAAAAAATTATGCTAGTGAAGTTGTAATGAGTATGGGTAAATAACATATGAACTTTGACCTTAAACTGTCCAAACGTAGATCTACGTTCACATGCGTAGCACTCCGACCTTGATTTTCCCCTTTTGAAAGAGTGTAAATAAAACGTAGATCTACGTTTGAAGAACCCCCCCCCCCACACACACATGGACGTAGATCTACGTTCGGACAGTTTAAGGGTTAAACAATGCTTCAAAACACACTAAGTAAAAATATTAAAAAAAATATTTTACATTTTCTTAATTCTTTTATTTTTTCATTTATAGTATATATAAATGATAAATATTGTTTTAAGCCATATTTTCTACCACAGTAAGAAGTTCACTTCACCCTTACTATCTGCAACATCCCATGTGTTCTTAGTCTGCTCATAATTATTTCTAGCCCTGCACTACTGAGTGGATACCTTTACTATACAATGACCTATTCTTACATAAATAAAAAATGCACTTTCATTATACATGTGTCCAAGTGATACATAATAATATGCATAGCTGACCTGATACATCTTGATACATACCTAAGATCAATATAGGCACTACTTTTGAGTACTTGATCTAACACACAACACTTCTAACAAGTCTAAACAAGTGCAATTATCTATACAGTACACCTTTCATTACCTTTTATCTACTAAATGTTCTTAATATCAATAATTTTTAATATACTGGATATACTGGATATTTAACAATTCAAATGTATATATAATATACTGTGGTAATAATTCCTACTATACTATAGGAAAATTATATTTAAATAAGCATTACTGCAAATCAGTACTATTCTACAAATAGTTAATAAAAAAAAATTCTTCTAAAACTTGAAGATACTATGGTCAGCTAATTTTGTATGCCAATTGTCCATGGACAGAGAGATGAACTGTGTGATATAAGAAAATCACACACTTCAAGAGCCTATCTAAATGCTCTCTACTTTCTGTTACATGACAAGTATACTGCAATAACTACTGTTTTTATAATTAACACTCAAGTAACATGGTAGGAATGACAGTGTGAGCCTCTGCTCAGGAGATCTACTGTATACGTATTACAGTATAGAAATGCGCCACTTTCATAACCGAGCTCATTCTTGGCTATCCAACTCACACCCATGAATATAACAATTATTTGCTTAAATTTGTGAAGGCTTACATTAAAAAAATACAGTTTGATATTTACACAGCACTTAAGTGTAGCTACAATGGTGAATCAAAGGGATCCAATCTGCATCAATGTTGTTACTGAGGAATGAAATGAAAGTTTCCTTTGGTCCCTCAACAACAATGATAAAATGCGAGAAATCTTTCTAAAATAAGACAATACAACCCCTTCCCAATGATGTGGTAGTACCAGATTAACAAAGAAATGCATTCAGGGTATGCATATAAGAAGTCTAGAGGCTAATATGGTAATGCAGTGATTATGAATTTTTAAGCAAATATATATCCCATTAGTACTAAAATGCTGAGAATTTTTTCTAGTGTTTTGGTAGTACAGATGGTAAATTTTATCCTGTATGTTAAGTACATTACATAAAATGTTTAACTTGACTTTTTCTTACTAGTACTGGACAAAATTGCTACATCTTAATTTTAAATCAGACTGTACCTAACTGATAATCCATTACATTAAAAGTACAATAATAATAAAAAAATTGTGCATGATCATACTGCACAAAGATATATCACTCACAAATTAACTAACATCTTTGACCTCTTTACCTCTGGCATAAAAAGACATGCATTTTGAATATTTTTTCCTTGAGAGAACTAAACTATTATTCTCAGAAAGTGCAATATCTAAAAGGGTCATTCAACACCAAGGCAATGAGGTGCAAACATTAAAGGGCAAAAAAAAAAAAAACAAGAGGGGGAGATCACAATGGGAAAATGTAGAAGTCACAATTTGTGATGTAAACTATTTCAATTAAAAACTGTTTATACATTTATGAAGTGATTTAGGGAAAGAATAACAGAATATTCATGACCTGAGACTCCAACATACCTCCAGCAGATATCAGAAATACTGCTGGAATGAAGATGAGAGGTTTTTAAGAAGCTGGAAAGTTTCCCGTTACTGAATCCCGTGCTGAATCAATCAGGCTGTGATTGCTATGTGGGTCTGCTGACTGCTTGCTAATACAACAGCCTAGTTGACAAGGTGAATAATAAGTGACTGGCCTCAGGCAATGCTGCAGGGGGGACAAAACCTCTCAAAATCAATCATAGGTACACACACTTAACACTGAGGAAAGGATGCCATGTGTAGACTTTGAAGACATTTTGCAGAAAGGTTGACAAAGATTAAACTTTGAAGATGGGTCTCTCAGAAAGGATAGCAGAAAGTGAAAGCATGTTAGGGCAAAGGTGAGGCCAAAAAATAGAGCTGATGTGCTCTTTAATAAATAGGGTAATATATCAGATGTTTAACCATCAGCACATTTTGTAATGAATGCCTCTCAGCAAAATGAAGTTAAGTTTGTAATAAAACAGGTGATATACACTCCCCAATGTTACTGATCTACAGTACTATTAAAATATCAACAATGACCTCAAGAATAATATATTTTTGTTTATTTTGTGACTGAAACCAAAGCCCACAAATGAAATATATAATAAACATAACATGATCAAAATAAATTCTAATATACAGTACATGTATTTCCAAGAAACTTGATATTCCAACTACTACCACTATTATTTCCATTAGATTAATAAACATCAAACATTAAAGTTACTTGTGTGACCTTCAAAGTTTTTCCTCAGTGTCCATAATCCTCCCAACAAAGATACAATAAAACAGGAAAATTTTTTATGAACATTATAATTCTTTACCTTAAAAGAGTGAGGATAGAATATTCAAACATTCTATGGGAAACAATGTATACAATAACTCTCATACTATAAAGAATAGCAGTACAACAAGAAAGTTTAATTTGAAAGTCAATAGGCATACAGGACATACTTTTTATTTCTTATTCTTTTTATTTTGTGCAGTACAGTGTTGTAGAATAAAGCTAACAATAGCCTCTTTCACTTTTTTAAGTACTGTATCAGACTTCTTATATTTATTAATGCAAGTCTCTTAACATAATCATTTAAAGCTTACATACAAATTACCATCATTATTACGGTAATATATACAAGACTTGCTTGGCACTGACATTACCATATTTTATTCAGTTCATATAAACTACTGCATCTAAGACTTAAAACTTTCCAGTTTAATTTATATTTTTTAGTGTTAGTATTCATCTTCAATGTATAAAAAAAACTTATATGACATATTAAACCAGTTGGCCCCAGTCACACATGGAAGCATTACAGTCGTAGACCCTACCTCTCTTTAGGCTTGGTGTTTAATGCACTAGCAATAATCCAAGTGTTGAACACTGGCCAATGAACAGGTAAATCCCACATGAACAGATAAAACATTGAGAAGAAAGAATTTGTATATCTCAGCCTCAATCAGATACCCACTGTTTAAATTAAGAGTGCTCTCTGACTGAAGCTGAAATGTACCTTCAACTCAGGGTTTTATTTTTCATCTAAAAGAGATTTACCTGTGCATTAACAATACTGTATGCACAATGCAGACGACCCTTTATATATCATGCTGTAACTCGTCTAAACATCACAACAGATTATAGCATTTTAATCCGTCATACTATTATCTCTGGATTTAATCTTGTTTTTCTACTTTTGTGTACAGACTACTTTATTTCTTGAAACAAAAAATTTATTATTTTAAATTATTTGTTTAAAAAAAGAATAACTGCAATACTTCCTGGAATATAACTTAGCCAAAATGCAGAATGTTTTAGTCAAGTTCTGACATCTCAGCACTAAGAAATTTAACAAAAATCAGACATTTCAGAATGTGTGGTATTGTACACCCTGTCTTGAGTGCACCTTTTGTTAATGTGGGAATAAGAAAAGTAACAAGATAAGAAAACTAAAATACTGTATATAAAGTACAGTACATGTATTATAAATAAATAAGAGAAACTTATCTATCCAAGATGGTAGCTCCACATGCATACCACTAGTTGAACTTTAAGTAATTTATATACCAGTAATGCATGAATTAGATATAGTAATCCAAATTATGATAAATTCATGCTAATACTTCTTAGCATTAATTTAATAAAAACAAAATAACATAGTATTTAAATAATAATATCTACTTACATATTCATAATAGGGATTAATTTGATATTGGGAAGTACAGCTGTAATAGTAAAAGGTATGGGAAAACCAACAAAGTTTTTGTTGACAAAGATTTGAAAAAGCCTGTTGCACAGGTAAAACAGTGTCTGAATAAAATTTCCAATTACTGTTTTTGTCTTAATCATCTATAATAAATAGTGTTTGTGAGCCTGGTGGGCAAGAGACAATCTTATTGTGACAGACTGAATCTTACTTAGTCTGTAAGATGTGCTCTACCAATGGCCCACACATAAAAATAGGATTACAGTGGGCTACCAATAATAAACAATACTTAAGTACAAATTAGCACTGTCAACAAATACACAGGAGTAAAACCTAAATTTCTTAAGATTTTCCTTCTCAGAGAGCTATCACAAACAAGGCTAAAAATTAGTGGAAACCTACACAGGATCATGGCTTTCAGCCACAGTTAAAAAGAACAAAAAACACACAGTATCATGGCTTTCAGTCACAATTAAAAAGAACAAAAAACAATGTGCACAAAGTCACTAGGACTGGGAGGAAAGGACTGGGAAAGGATCACTCATACCCAGGTAACAGGAGTACTTTCCAGAGTAATAAACAAGACGATACATACCTGGATGCTGAAGTAGCTCATCATTGAACAAAAGCTGAAGAAACAAAAAATGAAAATATTAGCTTTGATAAATAAATTATACAAGTTATTTACTTTTATGTTCTCAGAGATCACATTATTAATATTTTTTTATTTAACTCAACAGTCCTTTGTCATGGCAAGGTGATCCAAAGAAAACACATTCATCAACATTCACTCGATCACAGTCTTTCCAGAAGTGTGCCGACATCACAATCAGAATACCCCTCTGACTGCAATATCCCCACCCTCCTTCAGAGTGCAGATAGTGGCCTTCCCACTTCCAGGAATCAAGTCCAAGCAACAGGTTTTCCCTGAATCCCTTCAGAAAAGCTACCGTTCTCAAACTCCAACAGCACATCCATTTAATGGGAAATGTACAGATATCATATACATACTGTCCTCATAATTAATAAAGTATTTAAAACTACTGGAAATACCTTTAACACTAAGAATGTCTTCTTGGGAGTGAAGTAGATACTATTATTATTATTATTATCACACTGGCCGATTCCCACCAAGGCAGGGTGGCCCGAAAAAGAAAAACTTTCACCATCATTCACTCCATCACTGTCTTGCCAGAAGGGTGCTTTACACTACACTTTTTAAACTGCAACATTAACACCCCTCCTTCAGAGTGCAGGCACTGTACTTCCCATCTCCAGGACTCAAGTCCGGCCTGCCGGTTTCCCTGAACCCCTTCATAAATGTTACTTTGCTCACACTCCAACAGCACGTCAAGTATTAAAAACCATTCGTCTCCATTCACTCCTATCAAACACGCTCACGCACGCCTGCTGGAAGTCCAAGCCCCTCGCACACAAAACCTCCTTTACCCCCTCCTCCAACCTTTCCTAGGCCAACCCCTACCCCGCCTTCCTTCCACTACAGACTGATACACTCTTGAAGTCATTCTGTTTCGCTCCATTCTCTCTACATGTCCGAACCACCTCAACAACCCTTCCTCAGCCCTCTGGACAACAGTTTTGGTAATCCCGCACCTCCTCCTAACTTCCAAACTACGAATTCTCTGCATTATATTCACACCACACATTGCCCTCAGACGTGACATCTCCACTGCCTCCAGCCTTCTCCTCGCTGCAACATTCATCACCCATGCTTCACACCCATATAAGAGTGTTGGTAAAACTATACTCTCATACATTCCCCTCTTTGCCTCCAAGGACAAAGTTCTTTGTCTCCACAGACTCCTAAGTGCACCACTCACCCTTTTCCCCTCATCAATTCTATGATTCACCTCATCCTTCATAGACCCATCCACTGACACGTCCACTCCCAAATATCTGAATACATTCACCTCCTCCATACTCTCCAATCTGATATCCAATCTTTCATCACCTAATATTTTTGTTATCCTCATAACCTTACTCTTTCCTGTATTCACTTTTAATTTTCTTCTTTTGCACACCCTACCAAATTCATCCACCAATCTCTGCAACTTCTCTTCAGAATCTCCCAAGAGCACAGTGTCATCAGCAAAGAGCAACTGTGACAACTCCCACTTTGTGTGATTCTTTATCTTTTAACTCCACACCTCTTGCCAAGACCCTCGCATTTACTTCTCTTACAACCCCATCTATAAATATATTAAACAACCACGGTGACATCACACATCCTTGTCTAAGGCCTACTTTTACTGGGAAATAATTTCCCTCTTTCCTATGTACTCTAACTTGAGCCTCACTATCCTCGTAAAAACTCTTCACTGCTTCAGTAACCTACCTCCTACACCATACACCTGCAACATCTGCCACATTGCCCCCCTATCCACCCTGTCATACGCCTTTTCCAAATCCATAAATGCCACAAAGACCTCTTTAGCCTTATCTAAATACTGTTCACTTATATGTTTCACTGTAAACACCTGGTCCACACACCCCCTACCTTTCCTAAAGCCTCCTTGTTCATCTGCTATCCTATTCTCAGTCTTACTTTTAATTCTTTCAATAATAACTCTACCATACACTTTACCAGGTATACTCAACAAACTTATCCCCCTATAATTTTTGCACTCTCTTTTGCCCCCTTTGCCTTTATACAAAGGAACTATGCATGCTCTCTGCCAACCCCTAGGTACCTTACCCTCTTCCATACATTTATTAAATAATTGCACCAACCACTCCAAACTTACCCCCACCTGCCTTTAACATTTTTATCTTTATCCCATCAATCCCAGCTGCCTTACCCCCTTTCATTTTACCTACTGCCTCACGAACTTCCCCCACACTCACAACTGGCTCTTCCTCACTCCTACAAGATGTTATTCCTCCTTGCCCTATACACGAAATCACAGCTTCCCTATCTTCATCAACATTTAACAATTCCTCAAAATATTCCCTCCATCTTCCCAATACCTCTAACTCTCCATTTAATAACTCTCCTCTCCTATTTTTAACTGCAAATCCATTTGTTCTCTAGGCTTCCTTAACTTGTTGATCTCACTCCAAAACTTTTCTTATTTTTCAACAAAATTTGTTGATAACATCTCACCCACTCTCTCATTTGCTCTCTTTTTACATTGCTTCACCATTCTCTTAACCCCTCTCTTTTTCTCCATATACTCTTCCCTCCCTTTCATCACTTCTACTTTGTAAAAACTTCTCATTTTGCTAACTTTTTCTCCCTTACTACTCTCTTTACATCATCATTCCACCAATCGCTCCTCTTCCCTCCCCCACCCACTTTCCTGTAACCACAAACTTCTGCTGAACACTCTAACACTACATTTTTAAACCCACCCCATACCTCTTCGACCCCCTTGCCTATGCTCTCATTAGCCCATCTAGCCTCCAATAGTTGTTATATCTTTCCCTAACTGCCTCCTCTTTTAGGGTTTTTTAAGCCTTCACCTCTCTCTTCCCTGATGCTTCTATTCTCCTTGTATCCCCTCTACCTTTTACTCTCAGTGTAGCTACAACTAGAAAGTGATCTGATATATCTGTGGCCCCTCTATAAACATGTACATCCTGAAGTCTACTCAACAGTCTTTATCTACCAATACATAATCCCAACCAAATACTGTCCCTTTCGCCCTACATTTATATCTTGTATACTTATTATCCTCTTTTTCTTTAAAAAATGTATTACCTATAACTAAACCCCTTTCTATACAAAGTTCAATCAAAGGGCTCCCATTATATTTTTCACCTGGGAAACCCCCAAACTTACCTACCACACCCTCTCTAAAAGTTTCTCCTACTTTAGCATTCAGGTCCCCTACCACAATTACTCTCACTTGGTTCAAAGGCTCCTATACATTCACTTAACATCTCCCAAAATCTCTCTCTCTCTCCTCTGCATTCTTCTCTTCTCCAGGTGCATACACGCTTATTATGCCCCACTTCTCGCATCCAACCTTTACTTTAATCCACATAATTCTTGCATTTACACATTCATATTCTCTTTTCTCCTTCCATAACTAATCATTCAACATTACTGCTACCCCTTCCTTTGCTCTAACTCTCTCAGATACTCCAGATTTAATCCCATTTATTTCCCCCCACCGAAACTCCCCTACCCCCTTCAGCTTTGTTTCGCTTAGGGCCAGGACATCCAACTTCTTTTCATTCATAACATCAGCAGTCATCTGTTTCTTGTCATTTGCACTACATCCACGCACATTCAAGCATCCCAGTTTTATAAAGTTTTTCTTCTTCTCTTTTTTAGTAAATGTCTACAGGAGAAGGGGTTACTAGCCCATTGCTCCCGGCATTTTAGTCGCCTCATACGACACGCATGGCTTACGGAGGAAAGATTCTTTTCCACTTCCCCATGGACAATAGAAGAAATAAAGAGGAACAAGAGCTATGTAGAAAAAGGAGAAAAACCTAGATGTATGTATATATACAGTGGACCCCCGCATAACGATTACCTCCGAATGCGACCAATTATGTAAGTGTATTTATGTAAGTGCGTTTGTACGTGTATGTTTGGGGGTCTGAAATGGACTAATCTACTTCACAATATTCCTTATGGGAATAAATTCGGTCAGTACTGGCACCTGAACATACTTATGGAGTGAAAAAATATTGTTAACCAGGGGTCCACTGTATATGCATGTGCATGTCTGTGAAGTGTGACCAAAGTGTAAGTTGGAGTAGCAAGATATCCCTGTTATCTAGCGTGTTTATGAGACAGAAAAAGACACCAGCAATCCTACCATCATGCAAAACAGTTACAGGTTTCTGTTTCAGTCATCTGGCAGGACGGTAGTACTTCCCTGGGTGGTTGCTGTCTACCAACCTACTACACCTAATATTATACACCTGCAAAATATTGGAGGGCCAGGTTCCAAATCTACAGACTACTATAATAACTTGCAGGAGAGAGATACAGGAGGAAGTGTGAAATAAATCCAGTGAAAAGCAGGGATGCTGTAGGCACAATAAGAACACTGTGTCAACATCCATGGCCCAAGACTATTAAAACTGCTACCTACCAGCAGATATTAGAAATCTTTCTGGAATAAAGTGTGCAAGTTTTCAACAGAAAACTGGATTACTAATTTCACCAAGTACCAGATCAAACAGGGTGTATGATAATGATTAAAAAATAAATACAGTATGTAACTACCATGAAAAATGTTTGTGAGGAAAACAAAATGCATAATTAAAAAACACTACTGTTCTAGACAATGACAAGTTTACCAAGCATATACTATACAGCATTACAATTTTATATGAAAAGAGAATGAAGCACTGAACTGATAAAACTATTTCATATACTTAAAAGTAGTTTGATGGGCAAATTTGTATGGTCTGTCCTCCCAATGCCAATACTGGTATTCTACCTGTATCCTTAAGCAAACCTTTCTACATACACTATTAAGATTAGGTATGCTTAATGTCAATTAGCCAAATTTTATGCAATATATATTAATACCAATAAATACAATAAAGCTTAAGGATTAGACTATGCTCTGATGTGCAAACAGATAATGGGGTAACTATTGAAAATTCTGAGGAAGCATGACAGCAAAAATCTGTTTTTCACATTTTAGTGATATTGGCTCGAGTTTTATTGATGCTCCCAAGCCACAGTAATACACAGTACCAATTTTATTTTAGGAGGATAGGTTGAGCCTTACCTGAAAGGTTCTCTGAGAGGTGTTCCCAAGGTTGGGTTGAGGTATATACGTATAAGTGATGTACTGATGCATTGATGTAAAGTCCACCTGTGAAGCAGTATATTTGTAAACAATTCATAAAATATACACCTGAAAAAATTATACTGTCAGTATGAAAGCACTCCAAAAATTTTCATTTGGTCTCTTAAGACAGATTGCAGTCATGTGACTAGTAAATGTGTCTGCCATTTTCGTGATCAAATCGGTCATTTTCAGTCAATAGCCATTGAATGTGATAAAAGCTATAAAGCCAAAGCTTACAGAATATTTTGTCATACAGATGTCATTAGTATACAGCATATGAAACTACAGCCAGTCTGTCTCTATTCCCTATCATCATTACTTACTCAAAATAGCCTAGCCTGAGTTTTGAATGTAACATGCTTATATATTGAGCCATACAGACATGAACAAATTGACACAGGGCTGTCATTTTAAGTCAACAGCCATCGAATGTGATAAAAGCTATAAAGCCAAAGCTTACAGAATATTTTGTCATACAGATGTCATTAGTATACAGCATATGAAACTACAGCCAGTCTAATTGTCTCTGATTCCCTATCATCATTACTTACTCAAAATGGCCTGGCCTGAGATTTGAATGTAACATGCTTATGTATGAAGCCATATAGACATGACCAAATTGACACAGGGCTTAACGCTAAATTTTTGTGGATTCCTTATCACGCGGGCCTCCAAGAGCATAGTACAGTCGATGCCTTCACTAAACTAACATTAAATGAAAAGAACATCATGTATAATTTTGGTTTCTCAAACAAAAGTTTAAAAACCTTTGCTCAAACAAGTTTGAAGCAAAACAACACAGATCCACTTCCCATCATTGTGAAATGAGTCAAGTAAAAAATGTTTATGGAGAAAGCAATAAGATCAGCAGACTACACAACTTTATCATAGCCAGATTAAGGCTAGGCTGTATTTATAGCAAGCTCAGTTTGTATGGAGAAGTCAGTGATATGAAATACAAAGTATGGACAGACAGAGCCACACACACTATAACACTGTATTTCATTGTGTTCAAACATTTAGCCTTATAACAGAAATGTCCCAACAATCTCTAGAGGAAATGGAAAAAGTTAAATCAATAATGTATCAGAAACCTTGAGATTGTATCCATACTTTGTACTGAATAGATGAATGAGCTTATCTGATGAGATTGTAACCTAGTAAGTGATCAATATTTATAGTGGTAATAGTTTTACTTAAGATTGTATTTACATACTGCATATGAAATAGACTTGTTTTTTCTTTGTAACCTTATAGTACAGTAGCTCTGGGAGATTCTGCGTGCATGCTTCCAGAAACACACAGCAGTTATACCTTATATAGTGCAATATAATCCCACGGTGAGGTGACAACATCAGAGTCGAGAGAAATCTTCACTGGGCCACCCTCACCCACAACCCAGGTTCCCATGGGCTGGAACCTCACACAACGGTCGTCATGGTTAGCAAATACCTGCAGGGAGAAGCAAATAATTAATATACTGTACACTGGCTGTATCACTAAATTTGAAAAACAAAATGATATAATAATCAGGTAAAATATAAAGAAACTACAATAAAAACTTTTAAAATTAAATAAAGAGAAAGTAAGCACCAACGTAAACCTTTTTATTACAATTACCATTAAGTATTAATATTTTATTAGATTTCTGCTTTGTCATATTTGGACAGAACTGATCCATAACTACACAATGATGATAATATTTAAGGATAAGTGCTAAACCCATTAGGGGTCGCACAGCGCCTGGGAACGGGAAGCAATCCCCCTGAGGGGATCTAAGAGGGTACTTAGCTAATTTAGGCCCGGTGGCCTGGTGGCTAAAGCTCCCGCTTCACACACGGAGGGCCCGGGTTCGATTCCCGGTGGGTGGAAACATTTCGACACGTTTCCTTACACCTGTTGTCCTGTTCACCTAGCAGCAAATAGGTACCTGGGTGTTAGTTGACTGGTGTGGGTCGCATCCTGGGGGACAAGATTAAGGACCCCAATGGAAATAAGTTAGACAGTCCTCGATGACGCACTGACTTTCTTGGGTTATCCTGGGTGGCTAACCCTCCGGGGTTAAAAATCCGAACGAAATCTTATCTTATCTTATCTAGGTATCCATAATAGGAGTAGAGCAGGTGACGTAATGGAGATTGTGGTGGATAGAGATGATAGTTTTACTTTGATAGCAACAAAGTCTGTAGCCAACATTTTGTCCACTGTGTCTGAAAAAATTGACAAGTGGATTTTTTCTTGCATTTCCAAAGTCTGTTAAAGTGAGGGTTTACTTACGAAGGTACTCAATCAACTGTTTAGCAGATGGAGGATCAGGCCTCCACCATTCTTTGTACAGTATACAGCACATGGGCTAGAACTTCATTACTAGTAATCTAATAAAATATGATGACAGATATACATGCCTTGCAGGATGAATGCAACAGCCTGATAGATCCAGCAGTAAAACAAAGATGCTTATTAAGCCCAGCCTTTATTGAATGCTTTCATACTTAAGTGTGAGAGCTATGGACTCAGTGATTTTGTAATTACCTTTACTTTATATGTTGTTGTGACCGGCTTGTGATCAGATTGGGTATACACTTCAATTGGGCTATACAGAAGTTGCTCAACTCCCAGCTTGACATTCTCATAGGCATCTACATGGACCTGATACAAAATACGATCTGTCCACGCAGGTCTTCGTCTGAAAAAATATATGAAGTATATGGGTATATTATTCAAAACCAACACTCATAATACATACACTAATTTTAAAAAATAGCAAATTTCCTGCCCAGTAAATGTTGTTAATATGATAGTAAATGTTGATAATATGATAGTAATTCTGAAGACCAAAAATTTCTGGTTATTATAGATTTAGCTGGACTTAAGTCATGGAAACGGGAAGTACAATGCCTGCACATTAAAGGAGGGGTCTGGGATATTGACAGTTTGGAGGGACTTCTAAACTGTCGTATCTGAGCACCTCTGCAAAGACAGTGATTATGTATGAGTGAGGTGAAAGTGTTGAATGATGAAAGTATTTTCTTTTTGGGGTTTTTTCTCTCTTTCTGGGTCACCCTGCCTCGGTGGGAGACGGCCGACTTCTTGAAAAAAAAAAAATTCTGAAGACAACATTTATTAATAAACACAATTTCAAAGGCTATATATACAAGATAAGAGATATATGGAGTGGCATTTTATAATTTGCAAAGCACTAAGAGCACTCTGGTGATTCAATGCTTCTAACAAAATGTTATGAACATTAATGTGAATCTGCTACTATTTTAACCAATTTTCAATTATCTTAACAATTTGGTGCTATCGATACCAATTTGTTACTATATATCTAGTATCTTGTAGGTAGTAGGATGGTAGACAGCAACCACCAAGGGAGGTACTACCGTCCTGCCAATTGAGTGTAAGACAGAAACCTGTAATTGTTTTACATGATGGTAGGATTGCTGGTGTCATTTTTTCTGTCTCATAAACATGCAAGATTTCAGGTACGTCTTGCTACTTCTACTTACACTTAGGTCACACTACACATACATGTACAAGCATATATATACGCACCCCTCTGGGTTTTCTTCTATTTTCTTTCTAGTTCTTGTTCATTTCCTCTTATATCCACGGGGAAGTGGAACAGAATTCTTCCTCCGTAAGCCATGCGTGTTGTAAGAGGCGACTAAAATGCCGGGAGCAAGGAGCTAGTAACCCCTTCTCCCGTATAAATTACTAAATTTAAAAAGAGAAACTTTCGTTATTCTTTTAGGGCCACCCTGCCTTGGTGGGATACGGCCGGTTTGTTGAAAAAAAGAAAATATCTACCATCTCCATGGGAATGTGGAGAATGCTTCCTCCGTAAGCCATGCGTGTATAAAGAGGTGACTAAAATGCCAGAAGTCAGGGGCTAGTAACTGCTTTTAAGGTTACCCTCTTTCAGTGGGATATGGCAGGTTCATTAAAAAAATATCTAGCTTCTGGTATGTGAGAAAACTGCCCTCCAAGATTAACTCTTGCTTATCTGAACCTCCATTTTATAAAATTACTCTAGCTTTTATATCTGTGATATCAAGATGTCAATGCGTTAAAAAAAAAAAAAGACATTAATTTACTAAATTTGTTCATCTGGCTGAAAAAAAAAAAAAGAATGTACTGTATTACAATGAGGTCTTTCCGTTCTCATTGTTTATAGTAGGGAGAAATATGCGACTAGGAGTGAAATAATTAATGGAGAAATTGTGTTGAACCATGCAAATGCAGCTGGCATACACAATGCCTCTGGAAAGCATGCAACTACACATGCTTATATAGCAGATGCTTTCTTAAGGGCTTACAAATACAGAAATTAAAGGAAAGGATGGCTAGTGTAAGTCACATGTTATAAAAATATTAATGATAACTTACGAAAAATCATACGTATTAGTCCCTTCAAGATATTTGTAAGTTGGGGGAAAGTTCAGAGGTCCTTCCTTCAACATAGAAAATGCATCCCCGCTCTTCTGTGCTTTTCGTAGTTCATCTGCATCTTCTAAGGCTGTCCAGTTAGCTTCTCCAATATGCTTGGCTATGATCTCTGATGTCATGTTGGCTTCATACCGGAAGTTCATGTCTCCTAACCAGAAGACATAACTGTAAGAGAATTTAAATTTACAACTAAAACATGCCACACAAAATTACAAGGTGAACCAAAGACAAAATGCATTCACCATCACTTACTACCTTTCTAAGACATAACTTCACTTTTAAAGTGAAATTATTACATTTCCCACCTGTAATATTTAAGTCTAGCCAGCCTGCTTCCTGAATCCTTTCAGATATTACCATGCACATTCAAGAAGCACTTAAAAAAAAAAAAAAAAAAAAACTGATCTAACATGCTCACACATGCCTACTGGATGTTTGAGCCTATATCTCTACATACAACTCTTTAATACCTTCATAACTCATTCGTCGACATTTCCTGAACCCTTTCCATCCACCACAGAGTTAAGCACCCTCTATCTACAATGTTCCATTTTTTACATTACCAAACTATCAATAACAACTTTTCTATCCTGGCAAGTTAAATTTTTCACACCATCACACACACTTCTAATTTGGTAAGTCATATTCTTTGCATAATTTTTCGCCACCCCACACTACTGTCTCCAACCTCTATTTCTGGTGCAACTTTAAAAAGCCTATTCTTTTCCATACTTTCTAAGCACTCCTGTAACTACTACTTCCCCTTCATCTACTTATGCGATTTCTCATCCTTCAGCTTCCTCAGCAGTTGCTGTATGCTCACACCCAAATGCATTTACTTCAAACATACTCCTTCCTTCCAATTACACCTTTAAGCTTTCATTAATCAACTTCTACAGTATTTATCATTACACACTTTTTTCTCCAAGATACATTACATATATACATATTAACAATAATCACCAAGCTGAGCACTTACTCATGATAGAGAATGTTACTAGTCTCTGGGATAGGGAATCGGGTGGAATCTATGATGGCATTAAAATTTTCCACACGTTCCTTATAGCCAGTGTCATGGGCAGCCAGGTGGCAGTTAACAATGCACATTGAGCATCCGTAGAGTGAGAATCTGATGCTGGTTGCTCCTTTGTTACCCTGACAGGAAAGGAGGTCATATGTAATATTACACAGAGAATGCTAAGCAGTAAACGAGAAGAACCCATCAACCTCCAGTTACTATTGTGGGAAAAAAATTACCTTTCAGAAGTATAGGACTTAACTAATCAAGGCCCAAATGGAGATAAAACATTATTTTCCTGTGAACATCCATTCTGTTTCTACTAAATAAGTAATTTTCCATCAATACCATAAGCTTTTCCATCATGAGTATTTTATGAAGAACCTATAGTGTACGAGTTGAAATATACAGTATATACGTATCTGTTTTAAGTAAATAATTACAGCATTTGTTTAAGTATTCAATACGAGAACAACTCAGTCCACTTCTAATAATGCAATATACAGTATAATAATAGTCCAATAATACAATATAAAGTAGAATAGTAGACATTTCCATTTGTTAAAAAGGAATATTTTTTTTAAAGTTACTAGGTACTCCATCCTGACTAGCTATCACAAACAAATTAGCTTCCAAATCTTGGAATTAAAACAAATAAGGATCTATTGTAATTTGTTTAACTACTGCTCAGTCAAAATCCTTTCAAACTACAGCAGGCAATTTTGCATTTAATGTACAGTATAATGAATGTCTCTTGCATCTTTGCATCTCCAACACACTATTCACACATTCAGTTAGTATGTAAGATAATTCCCAAACATGTACTCTACTGATTTTCTTTACCTTTAAAACACAAGAGAACTATACTCTATATGCTTTACTACAATTTACTTAACACCTTACTATCAATGTAATACTGTATGTTCTCGACAATCCTGACTAAAACTCTGTAGACATATACAGGGGATACCTGCTGAACTAGCCATAATAAGCAAAAGCAAAACCACATCTCTTTCTGAAACAATAATCTAATGCTTTATGCTATTTAAAAATAGAAAAGGGAAAGAATAAACATACCCAAAACCCTCCAAAGCCAGTTCGAACGACGGAAGTATGAATGTCTCGAATGTGGTGGAGGTGACGACGCTTGACAAATACACTTGTGACTATTCCTTGAAGACGCTCACCAGTGACTCTCACGTAATCATGTGGGCCAATTACTTCCCTCAGTGCATTAGTCCAAGGCTCTTCAAACAAGGTGTCCATCACAACATTCTGAGGTTGTGACTTAACTTCCTGAAGGCTACACATAGGCAGTTCGAGTTAGCAATCAGTTATCTATCTGGTAACTAGTGGAAGCATAATTTATAATTACGAGGAAAAAATGTGACGGTAAAATGTGTGGTATATAATTTTCTGTGAAAAAATGCTGTACACATAATTAACAGTGAATTTTGTCACATGTGAATTTCTACTTTCAATGTCACATTTATTTGACCTGTAGTAAAACCTCAATTTATTAACCTGTTCAAATTTTTGGATATAGTAACACAAAATCTTTGACCAGACAACATTTTGAATAAATGGACAAAGGCCAGGAAATCCAAAAGTGTTAATCAGAATACGGTCTGCTGCATAAAATCAATTATTTTAAAGAACAATTCTGAATTTAGCAGGCTTTGTTAAATCCAGAATTTTTCATTAGTTACAATGGGCTGGGTAAATTTATTTTTAGATATATGTAACAGACTTTACTCATTAAATCCAAAAATTGGCCGTTATTATGAATATGGAAAAAATGTTCTCCGATTTAAAGAACAATCGGCTTTAAACACCTTTTCTCCCCCATTAGGTCATTAAATCCAGATTTTATTGTACACATGTATTCAACAGTCTCACCCTATAATGTATAGGTCTGGGAGGTAACCATCCAAGCCTCGCTTAATAACAGGATCTTTACGAACTCCCATTAAAGCGTGTAGATCCTCTTCAGGCCAAGTAGTCTCCACATTCCAGGATATGCATGCTATGCTGTAAAAAAAAAAAAAAAGTCTTGATCATTATATAGTTAATATTCATTACATTGTTAATGCCATCCCTTAAACCCAAAATTCTACATAACTATGAAATATTAAAGCTTTTGTTTTAGTACTTGTGTCTTCCAGAAACATAAGGAATTGACAAGTGTCTTGTAGTTTAGCAGTAGAGCATTCAGTTCACAAATGAAAGAACCCAGATTCAAATCCTGGGCAAAGTAAGATGTATGGGCCAGTATTCTAACAACTGCTGCTCATATTCCACTTAGCAGTAAATAAGTATATTAAACAGGAGATAGTTGACAACTGTGCATCACACCCTAGGTAAGATGGCTAAAATACCTTTTAACAGAAATAATTCGCACTGCTTGGCTTGAATAATCCTGGATCATTAGCTGCCCTAGGTTAAAACTACAAAAAAATTTTGTTCTCCACATACTGTACTCTCTTGCCTTAGCCAGTGCTATTATTTAAATTTTCACATTTATATACTTTCTTTTGCAACAAATAAAACCTAACAGTTTACAGCACTTTGTGATGGCAAACAGTTCAGCATAGTAATTTGAAAAATACATTGAAACAAATTTTAAATAGCCTCCATTACCGAACTTGTCCATGTTTTTACTGATACAGTATGTATATACTGTACAGTACACTGAGTACTATCATGAGATTTGTATTTTATCCCAACATCGTTATGCATGCATGTATTAATGTATACATGTTTATATATGTTTTATATATATATATATATATATATATATATATATATATATATATATATATATATATATATATATATATATATATATATATATACACACACACACACTGGTCATCTCCCACATATACATACATGTATATATACATACATGCCTAGCTTCATCCTTACAGTATCACCAATTTAAAAACAAAAATTACTGAATACCTCAAATATAATATAAACTAAGTATTCTTATTTTCATGTACTAGTAATCATAATTTAGTTTTAAGGCTGCCCAAAATGCCTTGTATAATAAGGAGCTTTCTATAAAGTAGTTTATGTATATCAATTACCCTAGTTGTATAATGTACTGTACTCCACTTTATAGAAAAAAAGTTTGTTAACATACATAAGTATATACATATACATACATTCACACACAAACATAATTTATTTATATAGTATATATAAATATTTATTTTGCAATTCTTTAAGCCAATGGTGCATGTAGAAAAGAAATTGCAGACAATTTACAACTTGTAGAGCTGAGGTAATACACCAATTATAAATGTATGCACAAACAAAATTAAATTATTAAAGATAGCACCTATAATGATAATCTATTTACACTTCCAAGTATTTTAATTCTCATTATAACAGAACTGATAAAAATGCAGAATATTTTACCTAAGCTGCTCCATTTCTCTTGTTGCTCTGGTGTCTGTCTTCACACTGCTGATCAAAAATAGAAATAAGAAATGATAAAGTAAGCACCTGCAAATGTACTAAAAATGTTGCTACTAATTAGATAAGAGGACTTAAATCATGCTTATATCACCATCTGTGTTGTCAGTTTAGAATTCTGAGATGTTAATTTAGCTTTATATAATATATAATATATAAAGCTAAATTTACATCTCAGAATTCTAAACTGACAACACAGATGGTGATGTAAGCATGATTTAAGTCCTCTTATCTTATCAGCAGCATGATGTTATCTATAACATGGATATATTCCTGGTGTACAGGGTGGAGGCTAGTATTAAAAAAATGAAGGTGGCAGAAGAGAGAGAGAGAGAGAGAGAAAATGAAATAAATCTGGCAAAGCTAGGAGAGAATGTGACATGAATGAAGAAGGGGTTACAATGGACAGCACAGTTGAAGGAAAGAGGTGGAGTAGCAGTGGCCTAGCAAAACATACTGTGTGCAAATATTCCTTACCTTTCTTACCTAACAGTGTGTTACTGAACAGTTACAAATTAGTGCACTGTAAATAATTATTAAAACAAAAATGTTAAAAAAATCCTGTCTTACTAGATGTCATATCCTGGGCAAAATGCTAATAATGTACGAGAAAGCCAGACCTCTGGAAAGGAAAGTAGACCCTTGATTCAACAGACAAAGCAGGGGGCTTGTAATAGCAATTGTGGTAAATAAAGACAAGGTTATTTTTCCAGGACAGAAACTATGGACAATTCTAGAACCAACAGACTTTGTAATTTCCAAATCAAATGACCCAAACGGTTTTGTCCCGTATTTCCAAAGCCCATTGAACTGAGGTTTTACTGTAGTCAAGTGTTAGGCTGTAAAGGGTATCTGTACACTGCACCTATCTAATAATGTTAGAAAGAAAAGGTAGAGAAAAGAAAGTAGAGAAGGGGTGCCAATAAAATATTCAAGGTAAAAGAAGTCAATGAACAATGATCAGTCAGTTAGTTTATCTTCCTACCAAGCCCATAACATATACTTTTCGGTATGCAGAAAAGATTTTCTTCATATTATTAACCCGTGTTAATAACCTAGTATAACCCCCCCCCCCCCCCCAAAAAAAAAAAAAAAAACCCAAGCATTACCTGGAATATACCTGGAGGGTGTTCAGAGGGTTAATTCCTCTGTGGCCCGGTCAATGTACAGTACATATAGGAGAAATCAATTTAAAATATCAATAGAACTATCTTTGAATAAGAGTTACATTACATATTGTGTGAGGGCTTGAAGATGCATCTTAGGTTAAGTCATCATAAAACATCACATTTACTTATCACTATTTCCAATTTGCAATTATCAATGCAAAACAAAAAATTCTTGTACATACTGCAATTACCCCAGAATATACAACTCATTTAAAGTATTGAACTAAATTACCAGGAAACAGTCTACTTACTTGTGGTTTTACAGGATGCTCTTTGTACTATAATTATATGGAAGGGCACCTGTCAAATGGATGATAATGAGGCTTGATCTGAGGAAGGGGAAAAGTAGCTTTGATTCCTTGGAGCAAGAGCCCTTTACCAGCATTAAAGAACTTCCCCATGAAAGTCAGACTGCAGTTATCAATGGTTATGGTAGCTGTTTTAAGCACATGACACAATAATTGTAGGCAAGCAATGGTGACTTATTTGTGAAGATTTAATTTAGGTTAACTCTTCAGTGTAGATTCACACGTGTCAGGATCAATAATTATAATAATCTTTAATTAGGTTAACAATTGATGGTTTTAAAGTGTTACCCACTGTTAAAATAGTTACAGCATGCCTGATTATTATAGTAATAAGTTTGTGATAAACTATGCAGATTTAACCTAGGAAAAACCAACATTTTAGTTAATACATTTAGTGGGGAGGCACTAAACTCGTAGGGGTCGGACCAACCAATATTTAAGTTACTATATTTAACGTGGATGCACTGAACTCGAAGGGGTTATACTACACTTCGGAAATGGTTTGATCCAAGGAAGCGGAGAAAGGTTCAATTCCTTACTTACTAAAGAACCTCCCTCCTGCCAGCGTCAATCAACCCCAATGGAGGATAACACAGGTCAAAGAGGCACTCACACTGACCAGTGTGGAGGCGGTGTGAGGTCACAGGTGACACCAAGAGGCAACTGAGGTGACCTATAAGAGGTCACAAAGGTGTGACCTGTCCTGTCAGCTGACAGTGTAAGCACAGCTGATCTTCCTCCTGTACGTGCGTATGTACTTTGAGTCTACACCTTAAAAAAAATCACTTTACTAATTTCCCACATTCTACAATCAAACTAAAATAAACGCTTCAAAAACACTACTTTAAGCTACTGCATGTACATTATTTTGTATTGAATTCTACTACACCTGGACACGATACTTTTTAAAAAAAATCACTTTTGTTTACCAAAAAATCGTTAATTTCAAGCTAGCAACCCTAACAACGAATTATTTTTTATAGTAGACTTGGTTATTGACTGTCACTCACTTGAACTTTGACATTAATTTATACTTTACAATACATACAATACCTATATCAACATGAAATAAGGGTAAATTTTTATTTTACTGATAATTTACAATGATGTCTAATTGGTATTGTTAATGAGATAAGGTTACTTTCTGCAAATGTGAAAAACCTAACAAAAAATACACTTTAAATATTCTGCACTGGTAGAATTGGGAGTCCCGTGGCTTGGTTAGCAACACACTCGCCACACACATTGAGTGTCCGGGGTTCAATCCTCGGCATGGGTGGACACGATAATGCAAGTTTCCATACACCTCTGTTTTCCTGACAGTTAGCAGGTACCTGGGTTTTAGTCGACTGTTGTGGGTTGCATCCTGGGGGCAAGATTGAAAAGCCTCAGTGGGAAATAAGACAATCAGTCCTCGATGACGCACTGATCATCCCCGGATTAAAAATCTGAACAACATTTCTTGTTGCTCACACTGCAGAGTGGAAAAATCATGTCGAATAATGTAGTAAAAAGTAATTTCACTTACATGACAATGAGAGGACATAACCGCGGTGGAGACATGCAACTAGACACACGTGTACAACTGTGCAATTGTTGCGCATTTGTCTGACTCGTCTAATTTTCGGCATTTTTAAACCATTTTCATAGTAATACCATGTTTGCAACTGTGGAAATGTTTATGAGCTGTGACTGGCCCGTGGCCTGGTAGGCAACGCTCTCGCTTCATACAGTGTCCGTAGTTTGATCCCCGATTCCCCGGCAAGGGTGGAAACATTGGTCGTGTTTTCTTACAAGCAAGTAGGTACCTGGGTGTTAGTCGACTGGTGTGGATCGCATCCTGGGGGACAAGACTAAGGACCACAATGAAAATAAGACAGACCCTTGATGACGCACAGACTTTCTTGGGTCATCCTGGGTGGCGAACCCTCCGGGGTGTGGAAATGTTTTACATAATTTCCTGCATATAAGCGACTTCCCCGGCCATATGCTGCACTTTCTACAAGAATGATGGACTGAACACATCGAAAGTTGGGTTAGGCAAATAGTGGGATGTATTGTGAAGGACCTGCCTAGTATGGGCTAACAGGCCTGCTGCAGTGTTCCTCCTTTCTTATGTTCTTATTCCAGGCTGAGGGACTGATTTTTTTTTATATTTTTATTAGAAACCTTACAAAAGTACAAAGGATGCATAATAATAGTACAGGAATACAAAAACAGTCTTTTGTGCTACTAGTACCAGGTTATTCCTGGAAGTAACAAGTATTATAACATCTTGTTATAGCAAACAATACACGCTAAGACAAACCTCACTAAAGTATAACAGTCATTAATAGTTGCCACCAAGCCATTGTAACCAAAGAAAACACACCAAAATGAAACTTTACATAGTTTAACAATTTAAAATGAATACCTGTCATGTCCTATTACAACAAAAACATCATACAAATGTACAACATCACAAGATTACTAAAGTTGAAATTTTCACACATGACTAAAACCATAACCACCTTTAACACACACAATATATGTACTACACATATCATGTCAGTAAAGTAAAAAGACCCTAACCAAAGCTACCATAACTACAAAACAAGACAAAACCCGAACATACCCGCTATGACAGGGTACAGAGTATTGGTTAAGTTATGTTACATTATATCCTAACCAATAGGAATTCGGAAGGAACGTATGATTCCTTATGCACAATAACCATAGAGAAACATTATTTTAATATTATTAATACGTTAAACCCTAAAATACAATAATTCTGATACAGAAAACAGAACAACATACATGTAACATACAATAATAAAATAACCCAAAACAAGTTTTTATAACAAAAACCTCGGCACATTAAAGGGTTTAAAACCAAACCCTATACATAATTAAACCTCCCACATATGTATATAAACCGAAAATCTTGTCCACAAGACTTGTTTGGTATAACCCCATAAAAACATGGTATAGACCCAAGACCTATACATACACTTAAAATTTTTCACATAGAACCTTTATCAGACAATAAAAGTTAAACATAAGACAAGATAAGTAATAAGGATAAGGCTGCTGTAATTTGCCAGTCCCAAAAGAACTGACACGTATCTCGGAAAATTTTTTGTTGAAACCAACTTGCCAATCTAATTACTTAAAAACGAGATCCTAAGGGCTCGGTATCCTGGCTATCAAGGAAATTTTAAACACAGTGAACATAACCATCAGGCTTAGAAAATTAACCCTGTAAGCCACATTTATAACTCACTATGACAAACAGTCTCGTGAAACATTGCGTACCATCCATACCTAATTCTCACTACCTTCCTCTTACACACTACATAAGCTCCAGAGAGAAAAAAAAAAAAAACCTTTTCATCCCCCCATAAGGAGACCACTCCTTTGTCCAACCTCAGGGACCCCGACAAAGGGAACCCACAGTGAGGTTCCTTTAACCTTCCAGGAAACTTTTTTCCCAGGACGCCCCATAAACCAGCATATTCCTACACTTCGTCCTATAGAATCTAGCCGCCAACGCTTTTATCCTCGTATCACCCCTTAATCCCCATGAGATATCCAGATAATCTACTATGATATACATTATAGCCCTTCCAACATCCCTAGGCACTCCCCTTACATCTAGTAGTAAAGCCCTTAAAAGCGGCAAACGACCCCCCCCCCCCCAACAGTCTGATAACCCCACCCATCCATGATCTCACCCCCTCCAAGGAGGTACAAAAGAAGACCACATGAAACGCCGTTTCAACATCACCACAAAACTGACAAAAAGCCTCTTCCACAAACCCTATACAACGTAACACCTCCTTGGAAGCCAGAATCCCCATGATAAAACGATACACTAATTCTCTTACTCTAGCCGGTATCCGAAGCTTACTAAAATCTTTCCAAATAACCCCCCAATCATACGTTGGATACACGGCTACCCCTTGCATAATTCCCTGACCTTTCACTACCCTCACTGTGAAAATTTGTGTGGACTGCCTCCAAGTGAGTCGCCTACCCTGGCAAACTCTGTTGACACCGAGCTCTGAGGTGGGTACCTCAGCCTCACAAGTGGCTTATAGGACAGATTTTCACAAATGATTGATGTTGCAAGAAAACTCGCCTGCATGCACGTATAAAGGACTAACTTACTTGGTGTTGCAGCATATATCCTGATCTTCAACTTCCCTAAGCTTAGCCTTAGCCCCTTTGGACTTCCCCTCAGAAACCACGTGCAACCGGGAGCCTTAATTCCTGCAATATTCAATCGTTATTAGTGTCCTGCCTGCACCTCAGAAATTCCTATATCCAAGAGGGTATGTATCCCCTAGTATAACTATGCAGACACGGACACTAGCTTCCAGACTGCCTTGAGACACTGGTACTTACTGGGCATGCACTGCCTGCTGCACACCGGGCCCACAGATCAAACTCACTCACAATTCTCCCCAGACACTGGCCGGGAAATCTACGAGATAAAAAGGGGGAGGTCTTGTTTTTACTGTATGGGCCTGACGGAGGTCATCTATGGTACATCGAGGTGCCTCTTACCAGATTTCCCCAGGTCTCAAATGTGAAGACACGTGGGGGGCGCCGTCTGCTGATCACGGAAACGTCTTGTCCATTTGGGGTGTCTGTCTTAAGAAGAACGAGCTGGTCTCTTCCAGACCCTCGTCTCTTCGTTCAAAACTAGGGCTGCCAGTTATCCCTAGCTAACTTATCCTAGTGTTTGCTACATTATCGGCCTTTTACTACCTATGTTAAGGTCTTAGGTCACATTATTATTTATCTACAGTTGCCTTAGTAAACCTAATATTAATATACTAACAGTTAAAACTCCCTTTACTCCTTCCCTGAAGAGTAAATCTATAAATTAAATAAATGCCTACCAACAATCCATGCCAACTAGAGAGAATGCTGTTTGTTTGGGAGGGTTTAAGGGCCACCCAGCTCAGCCGTCCCATTACGGCTATGCTGGGACCCCTTCGTACGTCGTATCTGTCCTGTGGAACTTTAGGGACCAAATAAATTTCCACATCCTCCCGCCGGCGAAGGTAGGCGCTAAGTCTAAATCAAGTTCACCTTCCGCAAGCCCCCACAGCGGACCCTGGACACGAGTGCCATCCGGCCACTCTCGTCGAGCAGACTCCGGTCTAACTTCAACCGTCCAGTTTCCCCTGTGTGGACCTCTGGGGGTGTAAACTTGTTGGTTCCGGTGGTCTTAGCACCCTTTCCTTTAACTTTAATGTCTTTCGTATGTCTAGCCTTGACTGAGCGGCTCCGTACTTTCCCACCCAGTGGCCCACATGCCTTGGTAGCCTTTCCCCCAAACTGTTACGAGGTTCCTAGATTTTAATGGCAATCTATCTCCCTCTTTATGTACCCTGTAAAAGGTTTTCCCAAGGTGGCCGAGTGTTCGTCACTACCTACCTGGTTTCAGCTTCCCTGGCGGTTCATCGTGTTACTGGTATTCATTATCACTATGCCCCAGCTATCATGGGGACAGCTTCTCCTCTATCTGGCGTGGCGGGGAAAATTCAAGTGGAATCCTGCTGCCTATGATGTATCCTACTGGGGATCGTATAAACCGATTCCTTCCTTAAACGTCCGTCGTGTAGACAGGAAGTCATCTATATGATTGGCTCCCACCAGGATACCTACATTTCTGACTGTCAGTGGTAATTCCCTGGTCTGCCAGCTTCACGTCAAGGCCCTTTCAATCCCCTTAGCTGCTGCAGCAAGACCTCTCGCTGAAATTGCTGTGGGTAGCGTCTCTCCCACCAAGGCTGTAATGTCTCTGCGATGGTCTACCTAATTTGACTGTGACATCCACCACA